TCAGTGTTCAGTCTCCAGTTCTCACATCTATCTCTTCTCCTTCCTCACACATTCGTTCTATGGTCCTTTTGCAGCACATGCTCCATGCTGACCTGTAGCAAGTGTGGGCAAAACAACACCTGTATCATTTACAAGTCCCTCTCGCCAGCACTGACTCATTTAAGGCCAACAACTCATCCTCACGCTGTCTACCTGTTCAGTAGTGGTAAGTGGATTAATAGGTGGACTGATAGCGCCTCATATCTGTGCCGTTTTGAGTTCTTGTTAAGACTGTCCAACATCTCATCTGTGTTTCTCTTTAACTTTTTTGGCCTGGAAGAGCTTTGCGGTCCCTGCTCATCCCTTTCTCCTGTGCAGAGCAACACTGAGGATGGCCAGAAGCAACACTCCGCCTTCCCCCAGAAGTCTCCAGCGGCCTCTGCTTTTCTGCTGAGACTGTTTTGGCGAAGGAGCAGTCTCTGTGTGAGGCGACACTATGTCTCAGCCCTTCTCTGCCCCTATTTTAAAACCAAACAAGTCTTTATGAGGAGTCTGGCAAATGGGCCATGATGTAAAGTTCATCATTCCTAGGTCTACTGTTAGAGAATAATTTTAAATGTGATTAAAACGTTATTTAAGTAGGTTTTGCTTTTAGATTCGAAGCCAAGAAGCCTGGAAAACAGCTGGGGGAACCACGAGGTGTCTGGTGTTCTTTTGGTGCTTGGGGGAGCCTGGCAGGCAGAATCAAGAAATGGCCATATACAGAGACAGCTAAAAGTACTTCAGTCCTTTCTACTAGCTCCCCCCACACACACACACACACAAACAGAAATGACTTCTGCAGGTGAGCGTGGGCTGAGACTGAACCCAGCATCTCAGGCTTACTGAGCATGTTCTGTGCTAATGAACTAGACATACAACCCCCCCCCCAAATTTTTTCAAACTTTTAATAAAATTATCAATATCTTCTAGATCACCCCAACCTTAAAACCTTCCAGAGAATCACTTTGAAAGACACCTGTAGACAAATAAGATGCCCCTAAACAAAAAGCCCTCCTTTCCTGCCTGTGCACACTCATAATTTTCACTTTTTTGATGAAGATTGTTCAGGTTTTGCCTAAATTGTCACATTAGACCTTCTGTGTGTGTCTGTGTATGTATGTCTGTGTCTTTGTGTGTGCCTGTGTGTGTCTGTGTGTCTATGTCTTCCTGTGTGTGTGTCTATGTATATGTCTGTTTGTCTCTGTGGGTGTCTGTTTGTCTGTCTGTGTGTGTGTGTCTGTGTATGTATGTCTGTGTGTGTGTGTCTTTGTGTCTGTGTGTATGCCTGTGTGTGTCTGTGTGTCTGTGTTTGTCTGTGTGTCTATGTCTTCCTGTGTGTGTGTCTGTTTGTCTCTGTGGGTGTCTGTTTGTCTGTGTGTGTGTGTGTGTGTGTGTATCTGTATGTGTATGTCTGTCTGTCTATGTGTGTGTGTCTGTGTGTATATGTGTGTGTGAGAGAGAGAGATGCTTGCTGAGCTACTACTGTATCATTGAGCTATGATCCCAGCCATGAAAATATTCTTGGGTAAAAATTACCAAAATCAGTTGCCCTTTTTTTTACATTTATTTTATTTTACATGTATGAGAGAGTTTTGCCTGCATAAATGTGCATATACCATGTGTGTTCCTGGTGTCCAGGAAGGATAGAAGAGGGTATCAGATCCCCTGGAACTGGAGTTATAGAAGTGATAAGCTGCCACGTGGGTGCTGGGAACCAAACCTGGGTCCTCTGCAAGAACAGCCAGTGCTCTTAACTGCTGAATCATCTCTCTCCAGTCCCATTGACTCCTTTTTTGACATCAGACTTCATTGATCTTCCAAGTGTATTGCATACACAGCACCGCACCTCTCAGACATAGTATTCCCACAGTGCTCTCAGTGGGGAGCGGTGGGGGAGGGCCTGAACCAGTTGTGTCTGGATTGTCCCCACCGAGGCAGACAGCTGCCTCCAGACCACTGTGAATGTGAATGCCTTTGATCAGCTCTTGCTTACAGGCACTAGAGATAGGAAAACATCCACAGCCTAACCCTGTCCTTAGACATGCTAGATGGACTCCAGCAAGAGCTTAAGTCTGTCACTCTCTTTTTGATCACTCTCGCTCCCCCACAACACACACACACACACACACACACACACACACACACACACACACACACATTTTGTGATAGTTGGTGGGTCACATAAGAGAGGGAGAACAGGACTAGTATGCTGAGACTATGCACCACACTGACCTTGTTGGGGGTGGTGGGGGAGCCACACAGGGTAACGGTCACAGCATGGACTTCGGCTGTGCAGGCCTGAGGAAGCGTGCTGCTACTCATACTCACTAGCCATATGGTCAGCACAACATAGTTCATCGCTCTGTACAATGGGAGGCTAGGGCTACCTGACCGGGTTGTCAGGACTATAGAAAGTAGACAGAGCATGCAACTGTGACCCAGTGCCGTTCAGGTCCTTAGAACCTGGCAAGTTGTAGTTGTCAGTATTTGTGGTAGTTTAAATAAGAACTGTCCACTCATTGTATTGTATGGGTTTTGGGGGTGTGTGTGGTGGGGAGACAGACAGAGAGAATGTATTCATTTGCATGTGTGTGGGCATGTGAGTGTGTGTTTCTTGTGTTTTATTTATTGTTTAATTATTAATTAATTTAATTGATTTTAATTTCTTATGTTTTATTTATTTCAAACAAATTGATGTTTGTTTTCCCATTTGTTTTTTTTTTTATTTTTATGTGCATGGATGTTTTGCCTTCATGTATGTCTGTGAACATGTACATGCAGTGTCTAAGAAGGCCAGAAGAGGGTGTCAGATCCCCTAGAACTGGAGTTAGAGCCAGGTGTGAGCTACCACTTGGGTGCTGGGAATTGAATCCCAGTCCTCTGCAAGAACAATAAGTGCTGTTAGCCCTGGGCCAGCTCTTCAGCCCTATGGTTTTTTTTTTGTTGTTGTTGTTGTTGTTGTTTTTTTAATCTATGTGCACTGGTCTTTTGCCTGCATGAGGGTGTCTGGTACCCTGGAACTGAAGTTACAGACAGCTGTGAGCTGCCATGTGGGTACTGGGAATTGAACCCCGGTCCTCTGGAAGAATAGCCAGTGCTCTTAACCACTGTGCCATCTCTCCAGTCCTCCCCCAATTTGTTTTCTAAGGAAGAAAGGCTGTGAAGTTGGGTAGATGAGGAGGATCTGGGAGGAGTTCTGGGAGAGGAAACCATGATCAAAATATATTGAATAAAATGTTTTTCAATAAAAAATATATTTAGAAAAAGAGAATATTGGGAGGTGGGACTTAGTAGATGATCAGCATGTGGGAAGATCACCATTGGGTGGTGGTTGTTCTCAGAAGAAAGAATAAGCTTCCTTGGTCCTTGCTTGGTCTATAGCTTCTCTTGCTATGGGACTTCTCTAGTCTGCTGTTCTTGTCTGCTCTGTGATGTCTTCTATCATGTTGTGACATGGACAGGAGTCCCTCATCAGAGACTAGTCATCTGTGCTCCATCCAGTCTTGGGCTGTCAATCTTCAAAACTGTGAGCTATATAAATCAATTTTCTTAATTTAAAAAAGGAAGAAAAAGATGGTAGATAGGTGGATAGATAGATAATAGATAGAAGATAGATAGATAGATAGATAGATAGATAGATAGATAGATAGATAGATAGATAGATAGATAGATAGATAGATAGATGATAGATAGGTGATAGAGAGACAGACAGACAGATAATGTCCTCCATAGTCTCCAGCATTCGAACACTTGGTCCCCAGTTAGCAGCACCCTTTGGGGAAGTTTAGGAGGTGCCGTGTGGGAGGAGAAAGCGTGTTTCTGGAGGCAGAATTTGAGAGTGAACACTTCTTCCTTCCAGGTCACTCTCTCTGCTCCAAGCTTACGGTAAAGGACGTGAGCTCTCAGCTCCACCTCTTTTCTGCTGCCACGCCCACCGCTCGCCTCTCAGCTCCACCCCTCTCCTGCTGCCACGCCCACCGCTCGCCTCTCAGCTCCACCCCTCTCCTGCTGCCACGCCCACCGCTCGCGCGTGCCTCCGCCACGATGGACTCGGGAACCGTCAGCCCAAACCGATTCTTTCTGCTCTAAGTTGCCTTGGCCCTGGTGTTTTACCACAGCAACAGGAAAGTGACTACTAATACAGTGATCAGTAATCAGTCGCCCAGAGAGTGAGAAAGGAGAGGAATGGATGTGAACTGAAAAACTGGAAAAACTGCGGTCCCATAAACTACACATGAAGCGAACCCCACGTGTTCATGTGTGATCTTGTGTCTAAGCAAGTATCAAGTTGGGAGGAACAAGGAGAGGATGGGTACCTCTGGGTGAGCCGCCCTCTCTCTCTCTGCCCCCTTTCCCTGGCCAAGCTGTCACTAGCAGTGCTGGTCCCTGAAAGCAGCAAAGGAGGCCGTGACCTGGGAGACTGCGGGGTGGGGGGTGGTCGTTATTGAGACGCTGCCTCTCAAGGCCCTTGGAGTCCTCTTCATGCATCCAGCTGCACGGAGGGAGATAGACACCTCAGCAGGGCCAACTGGGATGCAGTGTGGCCCAGAACCAGCTGACCTTACAGACTTCACACATACTGCGGATATTAGTAGGATGTTGGGGTGTATAAGGTCAGAGGTCCCGCTCTCATCCTACTACCAATCGGGCACGGAAGAGAACGGTGACTCCAGACAGGACAGCTTCCTTAAGAGAACAAACAGAATTGAGATTGAAGGGAGGGAGAGGAGTCAGGGCATCCCACTGAAGGGCCTGGGTGAATGGCTTCCTGAAGAAGATGGGGGATAGAAGGAGAGTGAGGACCACAGGAAAAAAAAAAAAGTCTCACTAAGTCACCCAAGCAAGTTTCAAACTTGCGATCTCTCCACCTCGGCCTCCAGAATGCTGATATTACAGGCACCCTCCCCAAGGCTCAGCTCCACTACCAAGAGAGTGAGGTGGCATTAGCTAGAAGGGAACAGGATCACGGCAGGGCTTACCACAGGGTCAGCATTCTTGTAGGCTAAGGGAACACATAGTGAGGGAGCAGGTGGCCACAGGGGCTGTGGGTGGCTAGGCTGGCTTTGTGACAGGTGAGAGACGAGGCTATGAACAGGAGTGTGAGATTCACACCCTTGAAGCTTCATCGCTCCATTTTCTCAGTGAAGACGGGAATCCATTGCTGAGGCTGAGGAGGGTGGGTAAAGCGTATGCCTGTGTGGGCTCCTCTGATTGACAGCTTCGGTTGGAAGCATATTTTTGTTGTGGTCCTCGTCCTTGTGGGAATGTGGTTTCCTTTAGTCAATGACAGGAGCCACAAGTGACAGAAGCCACGATGTCCATGTGGAGGGGAAGAAGCTGCAGAAAGAGCAACCAGAGTCAGGACCGGAGGTGAAGACCAGCTCATCAACTGTGCTGTCAAGGTCGATAGGAAAGTCCACGGTCAACAGAAGGCTGGCACAGTCCTACGTGGTCGTAGTTGGTGGTCGAGTTTGGATGTGAAGTGGCCCCCCGCAGGCTCGTAGTTTAAATGCTCGGTTCCCAGCTAAGGGTACTGTTGGGTGAGGTGATGTAACCCTGTTGGGAAGACCTGAGGGGTTGGTCCTGGAAGGTAAACTACTGTGGTTCCCTCTACCACCATGGCAGGGACTCTGCCACCCGCTTCCACAGCCTCTGAGCAACTCTGCCTTCTCTTCCATGACCGAGAAGCTGCGAGCCAAGGTAAGTCCTTCATAGGAAGAGGAGCTAGTACAGGCAATGAGGATGGGGTGTCCCCAAGAGGGAAGAGTGTGTGAGAGTGGGGTGTCAATGAGTTACCTGTCTCACTGCTTTGACAAAAATATCTGAGGGAAGCTATTTAAGGAAGGGAAGGTTTTGGTTGAGAGAGAGAGAGAGAGAGAGAGAGAGAGAGAGAGAGAGAGAGAGAGCTGGCACACACATGCCATAGTGTGGGTACTGGTCCTTGCTTTCTACTGTGCTTGAGACAGGATCCCCTTTGTTATGGTTTGCCAGGCATACACCAGCAAGCTGGCCTACCTCCCATCTTGCCATAGGATCGCTGGGATTATAGACATGCACTAGTGCACCCAAATTGACGTGGGTTCTGGGGGTTCAAACTCAGACCCTCACTTTTGCACGGTACACACTTTATTCACTGAGTCATCTCCACAGCCCGGGAAGGGAAAGGTTTAGCGTGGCTTATCTAGAGGATGGATCTTCATCGTGAAGGCATAGCAGAAGGAGCAGGAGGCTGCTGGCCACCCTGTGTCCACAAGGCCAGAAGCAGAGCGCAATGAATATTGCTACTTAGCTTGCTTTCTGCTTCTTACACAGCCCAGGACCCCCAGCCTGTGGGGTGGTGGCCCCACCCATGTAGGGTGAGTATCCACCCCTCAATTAACCTAATCTAGATAACCTCCCACAGACATGCCTTGTCTCTTTGGTGATTCTAGACCCTTCCAAGTTGACAATCTCCAACAGTCACAGTTGGAGAAATACTATGAAGAAATACATGAAGAGTGTTCCCAAAAGTTCCTATCCATTTAGAACCCCAGGATATGACCTCCTTTGGAAATAAGGCATTTGCAGATGTAATTAGTGAATATTTGAATTAGCACTGGATTAAGGTGACTGCTATCCTTATAAAAACACACAGATGCTCTATAGTCTGTGATCCCATGTTGATGTCCATTGCCCTTGTTACCACTGAAGGCCATAGTGGTGTCCAGGGCCTGTGCTGCCACCGAGGGCCATGATGGTATCCATGGTCCATGCTGCAGCCAGAGGTCATGTAGATGTCCTTAGTCTGTGTTACCACCGAAGACTGTGTAGATGTCCGTGGCCTGTGCTGCAGCCGAGGGCCTTATTGATGTCCATGGCCCATGCTGCCACTGACTGTAAAGGGTCAAGAAGCTTCTTTTGCAGTGATATCCATAACTACAGACTCACAGTTGAGAATGAGAGACAGTGAAGGCTTCTGGGACAACCTCTCTCCACTCCACCCCAATCCCCACAAAAAGAAATAGTCTATACAGGAAGCCATTAAAGAGAACTCTTGCCGGGTGGTGGTGGCCTTTAATCCCAGCACTCGGGAGGCAGAGGCAGGCAGATCTCTGTGAGTTCGGGGCCAGCCTGGTCTACAAAGGGAGTTCCAGGAAAGGCACAAAGCTACACAGAGAAACCCTGTCTCGAAAAACCAAAAAAGAGAGAGAGAGAGAACTCTTAAAAATTATGACAGAGATCCTGAAGTGTAGCTCTTCACAGCTGATGGCTTCTGGCAGGGGTAGGGTAGGGAAGGACTTAGTTTTCTTTAAGGGGTTGGTTCCTGGGAGTTTAACCATGCTCTGGTGAGTATATGGACAACACAAATTTAATTTAGTATTTTTCATCTTCTTCTTCTTCTTTTCTTTGGTGAAGATCACAAGGGATGTGGGGTGTGTTGTGGAATATTATTTTAAGGTGTGCTACATTTGTTTATGCTGTGGAATATTTGTTTAATGATGCAAAGATGTGTTGCATTCTTCTATGTTGCATTTGTTTAACTCTGTGAAGCTGTGTTCTGTGCCTGTCTAAAACACCTGATGGTCTAATAAAGAGCTGAATGACCAACAGCAAGGCAGGAGAAAGGATGGGCGGGGTTGACAGGCAGAGAGAAGATATAGAAAGAGAAATCTAGGAGGAAAAGAAGAAAGCAAGAGAACAAGAGGAGGAGGAATTCAGGGGCCAGCCACCCAGCCACCCAGCCACCCAGGTACACAGCCAGACACAGAATAAGAAGAAAGAAAAGGTGTACAGGAATAGAGAAAGATAAAAGCCCCGAGGCCAAAGATAGATGGGATAATTTAAGAAAAGCTGACAAGAAATAAGCCAAGCTAAGGCCGGGCATTCATAATTAAGAATACACCTCTGTGTGTGATTTATCTGGGAGCTGGGAGGCAGGTCCCCAAAAGAGCCAAAGAGCCAAAAGAATCAAGGAGTAAAGAGCAAACACAACAGGGGTGGACTTGGGAAGACCGGGAAATGGATGTGTGCTTTATGGAAAACTCCCACAAAATCGAAAAGGCCAGCCTGGGTCCTCAAGACGTGGGCTAGCAGGAAGACGGGAGGGTGGGTCCCATTATGATGAACAAGTATATGGTGGAGAAATGGGAGAGAAAGCAGAGTGGTTCGTGTGCTGTGGAGAGAGGTGGAATGGAAGAAGCAAAGTCAGTGAGGAGTGAGCTGATGTGAGAGGCCTTCTCGCCTCCAGGGCCATGGTGGTGTCCTGCCCAGGCTGCTGCCAAGGGCTATGTCTGTGTCTGTGGCCCTGCTGCGGCCCATGTTGATGCCCATGAGGGCCATGGGGATTCCCAAGGTCTGGGCCACTACCTGGGGCCTTGGTGTCCGACAGCCTGCTGCTGCTGGGGCCATGCCCATCTGCGTGGCCTGCACCACCACCTGGGGCCATGGTACCATCCGGACCTGGGCTGCTGTTGAGGACCATGTCTGTATCTGTGGTCCTACTGCAGCCGGGGTATGTGTTAGAGTCCATAGCCCATGTTGCTACCAAGGGCCATGTTGATGGCCGGGGTCAGGTCAGCCACCTGAGTCCATGTTAGTGACCAAGGGACGTGCTGCAGCCGGGGCCATGCAGATCTGAGGGGCCTGCACTGCTATCCCATGCCATGGTGATGTCCAGGCCAGAGCTGCAGCTGAGGACCATGTCTGGGTCCATGGCCTTACTGCAGCTAGGGTCTGTGTTGATGTCTGAGATTCCTGTTACCATCGGAGAGCACATGGATGCTCAGGATTTGGGGCCATGTTAGTGCCTGAGGGCCATGCTGCCCCTGGAGCCCTGCCGATCTGGGTGGCCTGCACTGCCACCTGGGGTGATGGTGACATCCAGACCCGGCTGCTGCCGAGGGTCGTGTCTGGGTCCATGGATCTACCACGGCCAGAATTATGTGTTGCCCCCAAAGGTTACATGGAAGCCCGGGGTCAGGGCCACAACCTGTGTGGCCTTGGTGTCTGGAGGTCATGTTGCCACCAGAGCCATCCTGATCTGAGTGGCCTGTGCTTCCACCCGGAGCCTGGATGTTACCCAGGCCCAAGCTGCTGCTGGGTGACCTCTCTGGGTCCGTGGCCCTGCTGCAGCTGGAGTCTGTGTTGATGTCTGTGGCCCATGTCACCTCAGGGGGCCACAGGAACCATGTGTAATGGAATCAGAGGACCATGCTGAGCCTGCCCTGCCCTTCGATGGCCCTGGGTTAGCTGGCCCTGCCCCTCACTGGACACTGTAGCAAGGGAGCTGGCCCTCCCCTGCCCCTGCACTAAGAAGAGAGGGCCCCACCCCACACCATGGGCAGGGGAGAGCTGACCCTGATGGCATGGGCATAGGGGAACTGGCCCACCCCTCATTTGGGGGGGATGACCCCGGTATCTGGACTAACCAACTCAACTGCCACCCTGGCCCACCCTAACATCTACCCCATCTAGGACCTGCTGGAACAATAACCACAGGATCTCCATGGCAGCAGGATATCCGAAAAAGGATTCAGTGAGAATCCAATGATGAGGGTGGACCAGAAACCAGAGGCCTTAAACCAAACCACCAGTGACTAACTACAATGAACATTTGCAAGTAAAACTGATTGGACAAAAGGGCAGACTGTGTGACACACTGAGGCTCCCAGTGCCACCAGGAGGAATGAAGAGATGTTGGAGAGGCAGGAAACATGGAGGAACGAAGAGATTTTTGTTGTTTTTTGCTTTGTTTTGTTTTTGTTCTTTTGATGTTTGTTTTTGTTTGCTTGTTTTGGTTTGATTTTTTTAAAATTTTTGTTTTGGGGGGCTGCTGCAGGAGGAAGGGGAGAAAACGGAGAGACTGAGAGGTGAGCGGAACTGGGGTACATGATATGAAATTCACAAAGATTCAATACAGAAATATTGTCAAATATTAAAAAAAACAATTTCACAGAGGTATGGAGTCAACGTAGCCTTCTGTATGATAATGCAGTTCTGTGTGTTCTCTCAGATGACACTATGGATGAGGAAAATATTAGAAGCAAAGCTGCATCTCATGCTGCCCCATAAGATTTCAAGTTGTGCCGGGCGGTGGTGGCGCACGCCTTTAATCCCAGCACTCAGGAGGCAGAGGCAGGTGGATCTCTGTGAGTTCGAGGCCAGCCTGGGCTACAGAGCAAGTTTAGGAAACACAAAACTACCCAGAGAAACCCTTTCTTTAAAAAAAAAAAAAAAAAAAAAAAAACCATACAGATGCAGAGAGGGGAGAAGACTATGTAAAACAGAGGTGGATATTTAACATCCCATAGTGAACATGTAGCACCTTTTTAATCTCCATTAAAGGTAGATGTACATTTATTGCTATTTTTTTAAAGACACTAGATCAAAGCATCTAAAAACCAAGAACATGGAGGGTGGCCTGAGACCCCTGACCCTAAGGAAGGCAAAGAATAACAGTCTTCTTCAGGGTCCCCAGAGAGGACCCACTAAAATGACATCTTGGTTTGGAACTTCTGGGTTCATAACTGTGAAAGAATAAATGGCTTGTTTCAGGTCTGTGGGAGGCCAGCTGGGAGACCGGCTCCCACATTTTCCCCCAGGGTACTCTTGAGGAGTGAGGGATAAGAGATTTAGATAGAAGGATAGAGGGGAGAGAGACAGAAACATGGGATAGCCTAGGGAGGGCCTGGATCCTTATCCACTGGTCCCTTCTGTCTCTTCTAAAGGGATCTTTATAGGAATGCCAAGGGGAGGAGCAAAGACCTCCCCCCAGCACAGCCAAGTGCAGACCCTTCCAAACACCTGGTAATGCACACGGTCAAGCCATCCTTAACGCAGCCCTGCTGGGTAAAGCAAGCTCAGGTCTCACTAGGAAACCTCTGTGGGCCTCCCTCCACACAGGGCCCTCAGTTTGTGGTCAGCCGCCCTGAGAAGCAAGCAGACAGGAAGGAGGTGGCAGTTGCAGGGTTGGGGTTGAGGGCTGGAGGCGGATCATCTCCCTAGCGTGTGCTCTGGTGTCAGCAAGAGTCGAACTCGGGGACTCGGCCGCTGATTACGTCCTGGGCTTGTGTGTGCGTAAAAAGCAAAGATGAGCCAGGTGTGGTGGCGCTCAGCAGGCAGATGCAGGCAAAGGTCTGTGAGTTCAAGGCCAGTCTGGTCAACTTAGTGAGTTCCAGGCTAGTCGGGGCTAGATAGTGAGACGCTGTCTAAACGAAAATAGGGGAAGAGGGGCGGGCTGCACAGTCACTGAACAAGAGATCACGTGCCTCCCGCTTTCCTGGTTCTGTGCAGGGCACAGCTGTCATTGTCCACAAGAAGAGGATTCAGTCAAAAGAGTTTCGAAGCTTGGCGTCTTTTCAGGAAAGGGGTTAGCAGGGAGCCACACACCAGTGTTTGTAGAGGAAGTGAAAGTGGATAGAGGTGAAGCTTTGAAAGTCTTCGTAGGTCAGTCTAGTCTGGCTGTTTAAAAGGCTACCATGGTGTCTTAGTCAGTGTTCTATTGCTGTGAAGAGACACCTTGACCACGGCTACTCTTATAAAAAACAAAAAACATTTCATTGGAGCTGGCTTACAGGTTCAGAGGCTTAGTCCATTGTCATCATGATGGGAAGCATGGCAGCACGCAGGCAGTCACGGTGCTGGAGAGGGAAGGAGCAGAGAGTTCTACATCCAGATCCAAAGGCAGAAGGAAGAGAGAGCCACTGGGCCTGGCTTGGGCTTCTGAAACCCCAAAGCCGCCCCCCCAACCTATTTCCTCCAACAAGGCCACACCTCCTAATCCCTGTCAAGTGGTGCCACTCCCGAATGACCAAGCATTCAAATCTATGAGCCCATGGGGGCCACAGCTATTCCAACCACCACTCGTGGGTTCAAAAATATTGCTCTTATTTTTTTTTTCATTTTCCAACCCAGGTTTATTAAATTAAACCAGAGCTGTACATTGTAATCTTATAGTCTCTCTCCCTCCCTCCCTCCCTCTCTCTCTCTTTCTGCGCGTGCGTGCGTGCGTGTGTGTGTGTGTGTGTGTGTGTGTGTGTGTGTGTGTGTGTGTGTGTAGTATACCGGCTGACCAGCAAGCCCCAGGGAATCTGTCTCTGCTCCCCAGCACTGAGTTCCAGACCCATGCCACAGCACCCAGCTTTCTAGACGGGGGGCTGGGGATCGGAAATCAGGTCCTCAACGCTGGCACAGCAGTACTCTATGTCCTGCGCCGTCTCCTCGGACCCTAGTCATGGGCTTATCCTTGAGTCTGCAACGGACGGTGAACCGGAAGTGGAACGGTGAACCGGAAGTGGAAGGAGGCTCAAAGCAAGGAGTGAATGCCTGCGGCCATGAGTACGTGTTGGTAAGATGGGAGAGCTTAGCAGTAGGCCCTCTCGGGACCAGGGTATATTCTAGTGGCCGAGTGTGCATGTACAAAGCTGGGTTCAATCCCGAGTACCACAACAAAGGAAAAAAGAATCTGGGCATCTCAACCCAACAGCTCCCCCAGATCCACTTGTGCTGGCGGGTGCCGGGTGGTGACTCCCACCCTTACCGTCCCCAGCTTGCCCAGGTGGTAGTATCTACGGCTACAGGAGCATCAGAAGGCTGGGTTCTCCTCAGGTCAACGGGGCCTGCAACTTTAGGAAACATGTCTTAGCCGCGCTCGAGGGCTACCTGCTCACCTGTTTCTGGACCACTACCCTGGCTTGTCCTGCCTTCCGTCTGTGCTGAGAACCCTCTCCAGATGGGTTGTGTGACCCTGACAGCAATGTGCAGTTGTTATTGTTGTTATTGTTATTTTTTTTTTCTTAGTATGACCTTTCGGCCTACATCCTTGGCACAGACACAAAAGCTTGTTAAAGCTAATACCTTGTTTAATGGAGCCTTGGAGATCAAAGCCAGACGATCGGGAAGGCAAGTCTCTTCCAAGCCCCTGAGAGGCATTTTCCTCCGGGGGCACAGTTTTGACAGCCCGCCTCCCCTGTTTGCTCAGGCGATTCTGAGCTGTAATCAAATCCCCTTGCTCTAACTGCAGCCCAGCGAAGAGAGACAATGCATGCTTATTTATTAAACGCTACAAAGACCAGGATGAAAATTAAGAACAGAATCAAATCAAAGGCTTAGATATTTTTATCATGCATACCATCGCCCACATAGCACAGGTCTGCCGACTGAGCAAAAAAAAAAAGGCGGGGAGTGGGGGCTGGGGGGTGGGGTGGGAGGGTGGACAGAAGGGTGAAAGTCACAGGGAAGGCAGTGAGAAGGGAGCTTTCTTTGCTGGAGTGGGCCTGGTCTGAACTCTGTTGACAATATTTGAAGATAGCAGAATACAGAAAGAGTACAGAAGAAATGTACATCTCAGGGGTGGCCAAATGGCTCAGTGGTGAATGGCTCACTGCGAAAGCCTAGCGACCTGAGTTCAGTCCCTAAAATCCATGTAAAGGAGGATGATGAGAACTGACTCCACAGAGTCATCCTCTGACCTCCACACATGCACATCTGCATACGTGTCTTGTGTGTGCACACACACAATAATCATACACTTTAAGTACATCTTTCCTTCAGTCAATGTATTGGGCACCTACCTATTGTACAAAGGGAGAGCTCTGGGGTTATAAAGAAGAGGAAGATAAAGCCTTTGCTCTTGGGTGGTGACAAAGATTAAAAATTAAAGTCTCTACAATGTTCACAGAGGAAGTAGTTGAAGCGAATGCCTGGGGAAGAACAGAGGTCCCAGGTAATCTCCAGCTGAGTAGGAGGTCATTAAGTTTGAAAAATGGGGTGTACAAAAGCAGGGAGCTGTGAAGAACATATTCTGCTTAAGGAGTACTAAGAAGCTGCAAGCTAGCCAGATGTTGGTGGCGCACACCTTTAATCCCAGCACTCGGGAGGCAGAGGTAGGCGGATCTCTGTGAGTTCGAGGCCAGCCTGGTCTACAGAGTGAGATCCAGGAAAGGTGCAAAACTACACAGAGAAACCCTGTCTCGGAAAAAAAAAAAAAAAAAAAGAAGAAGAAGAACAACAACAACAACAACAACTTATTGGATGTGGTGGTGCACGCCTGTAATCCCAGGACTTGGGACACAGAGGCCAGTGGATTTCCATGAGTTTGAGGCCAGCCTATGTGGCAAGTGACAGGCCAGCCAGAGCTACATAGCAAGACCCTGCCTCAAAAAAAAAAAAAAAAAAAAAGGAGGAGAAAGAGAAGGGGAGGAAGATGAAAGAAGGAAAGAAGGAAAGAAGGAAGGAAGGAAGGAAGGAAGGAAGGAAGGAAGGAAGGAAGGAAGGAAGGAAGGAAGGAAGGAAGGAAGGAAGGAAGGAAAACAAAATAAAAGGGCTGGTGTGAATTGCGCCGTGGGAATGGATTGTGGAAAGTCTTTCCTACCACAAAAGAAATGTGAGTCGAGTGTGAATGGGGCCTTGCTGGGAGTGGAGAGGCAGGCCCTGCTTAACTTCTGCAGCTGTTTGATCAGACTTTATTTGTAAGTGAGAGATAGGACTAAAGGCTGGGAGACTGGGGGTGAGGGGAGATGGGTGGAGGGTACGAAGAGGAAGAAGAGCTGCCAGACAGAGGGCGGGAGAGGGGAGCTGAGGGCGGGCAAGGAGTCCAGGTGGACACTGAGATCCCAGGTGGGTGGCATTTCTGTGAGCAGACGGGGAGAACAAAGCGGGCAGCGGGTTTGGCAGGGGAAGCTCGCCTTCGCTCCAGACTGTTTGATGTCCCTGGGTGCCTGCCAGCAGATACCAGCGGGGCCGTTTCTGGGTGATGGGACCCAGGGCTCACCCACACTCCAAAAGTACCCTGCCCCTGAGCTGTACTCCCTGACAGAGACTGCAGACCGGGGAAGAGGCCACCCGAGGGCATTTAGCACAGGCTGGGAGACACCCGCAGGCGAGAAAGTAAGTCACCAGCAGCTAGTGTGCGTGAGCATGGCGTTTTGAGCTGCCAACCGGAAGGAGCCAAGACGAATGGGTGAGCCAAGAAGTGGGCACAGACTAGATGGAGAAATCCTTAGAGAGGCCTAGCTACCCAGGAACAACCAGCTCCCCCACGAATGGCAAACACCGTGGGGAAGCTGAAGCACGGTGGGAAACAGCAGCGATCCTTCCTGAACCTTCTCTGTTGGACCCTTCCCACGTAGCACAGCTGCTTTTCTAGTTTAGAGACCTTCTCTTCTGGTAGCTTTCTTCTGGACAGTTTGCTTGCTGTGATCCAGGAAAGAAGGTTAATAATTGCTTCAAGAGTCTTAATTAGGCCGAGCGGTGGTGGCGCACGCCTTTAATCCCAGCACTCGGGAGGCAGAGCCAGGCGGATCTCTGTGAGTTCGAGGCCAGCCTGGTCTACAGAGTGAGTTCCAGG